CTCTAAATGCTGGGAATTAGTAGTGACAAGTTCCCTGCCCTCTGGAACGTATGATATGGTGACAGAAACTAAAAATAAAATAAAGAGCTTTCCCACCTGCTCCCCCCTCCCTCCGAGCGCCACAGCAAGTCCTCGCCATAGCAATCAGACAAGAAGAAGAGATAAAAGGCATCCAAGAAAGAAGGAAGCAAAACTGTCATTATGATCAGTTTTGGGACCTCATCAACCATGATGAGATGTTCTTCAATATCTACAAGATCCGGGAGATCGCGGATGGGCTGTGCCTGGAGGTGGAGGGGAAGATGGTCAGTAGGACAGAGGGTAACATTGATGACTCGCTTATTGGTGGAAATGCCTTTGCTGAAGCCCCTGAGGGCTAAGGTACCGAAAGCACAGTAATCGCTGGAGTTGATATTGTCATGAACCATCATTTGCAGGAAACCAGCTTCACAAAAGAAGCCGACAAGAAGTACATCAGAGATTATATGAAACCAATCAAAGGGAAACTTGAAGAACAGAGAGCAGAAAGAACAAAGCCTTTTATACAGAGGCTGCAGAACAAGTCAAGCACATCCTTGCTAATTTAAAAAGCCAGCAGTTCTTTACTGGTGAAAGCATGAGTCCAGATGGCATGGTGACTCTGCTGGACTTCCGTGAGGATGGTGTGACCACCCCCCATGCTTGATTTTCTTTGAGGATGGCTTAGAGATGGAAAAATGTTAACAAATTTGGCAATTGGGTTCTATCACCTGTCATCATAACTGGCTGCTGCTTTCATCCACACACCAAGACAAGGACAAATAGGACTGAGGTTATCTGGAGCTCTTCATTTATTTTGACCCTGATTTATTCGGGGCAGAGGCATTGTTTTTAAGAAAAAAACATATAGGTTGTCTAAAAATAAAATGCATTTAAACTAAAATTAAATAAATCAATAAATAAATAAAATAAAGAGACATGGTAATTATTAAAGGATTCCAATGGCTTATTGTAATCAAATGTAACTCTTGACAGCCACAATTGCTTAACAATGAAAACAGAGATGCCTTTAAGCAGAATGATCGTCACATTCTTACTATGAATCAGGTCCAGCCTGCAAAGAATCTTCAGTTTTACTCACAAGTGTTTTTAAAACAGATCAGCTTCCTCTAACTTGCCTTGAAATTTCTAATACAAAGCAGCAGATGGCACCACCATGTCATTCACTCCTGCCTGGTTTTGATAACTCTTTTTTGATTAATTCATACTGACTTAGATCACACACCACAGGAAATCTATTTTCATCTTTTAGTTATCCTGCTCCTCTCTTACTCACCATACAAATATCCCCAAAGAGACTTAAGACCCGTCATTATTTTACTGGTGAGGAAACAAGTAGAGAAAATTAAACAGCACATCTAAACCCACTCAGTGACAAGAACAAAGCAACATGATGCATTTATTAGCTAGAACATGGACCCTGAATTTAGAAATTCTGCCAATAACAGATATTTTTCACCTTATGCAATGAAATGGTCCTATCTTGTGCCCCACTCCTTTTTAAAAAATGAATGGAATATACCAGGTGAATTCCTTCCAAATATTTTGTGGGTTTAATTGCTTTTTTTTCTAAATAAAATTATTTATGAAATTCCAAAATATAAAACAAGCAAAATCAGAGATGCTCTAGTCATATCCATACTGGGAAATTTACAGACTTTTCTGTTTGGTCTATCTTGCATCACATTTTGCTATATTTTTCTTCCTATTAGAGATGATTTTGAGTTAAAGGTCACAGGACAAAAAGAAATATAGCAAATATATTCAATTAACCAAAACCTGGATACCTATTTAGTGACAAAATGCAAAGAAGAAGGAAGGGCAATTATGGGTGGAAGAAAGAGGGATAATATCACATGTGACTTAAAGCAAACAAATACACACACAAAAAACTTCCCACTTCAAAATAACACCAACCATTCTTAGTCTACTCCTTGCTTTCCAAAGGCAATGTAAGGACAACTTGCTAAAGTACAGCATAGAAAATATAGTCAGTAATATGGTAATAACTATGTACGATGCCATATGGTTACTGGAAATAACAGGGAGAACATTGTATAAAGTATATGATTGTGTAATTGTTATCAGTGGGTGCAATCTGTGTCCTCATCTATTCCCGATGGACATGGAGTTCTTGTCATGTGGCAAGGAAAGGAATTTCCTAAGACTCATTTGGGAGGATGAGTGATCTTTATTTCCACGCAATTAAACCACTGGGTTTCCAATGTTGCATTTTCCTATGTCCTGCCATGGATGAAGTCCAACTTGTCTTCAGTAGGGCAAGAATTAAGACCACTTCCCAGAGTCTTCACTCCATATTAAAGCACAGTCCAGTCCAGCATCCTACATGTAGAGTCTGCCTGGCCCTGGGCCATGGGGTTGCTTAAGATTACATGGCTATGGAGAGAGAACAGGCAAGTGCATGAGGCGAGTGTGGGTCACAGAGCAGAAGTGCCAGAGCACAAGAGCAGAGCAAGAAGAGTAAGAGGGGCAACAGAGAAGGTGCTCATTGGGGATTATAACCAGGAACTTAATCCATTAACCCTTCAAGATTTCATGTGCTTGCAGTGGCTTCACCACCCATAGCCAATTATCTTTTTCCCAGGTTAGACTGACAAGCAAGCACCCTCCTTATGTCATCCAAACTTCACTGTGCATAAGCCCATCTCCCCTTTTGTTGGATCCATTCCCCTAGTGATCTGTGGGAAATTGACAGGTGGTTTTCTGGGGAGTGTGAAACTGTAGCTTTCTGGTGACACTGCCCAGATGACCATGCCTATAATGTCTGACCTCTCACTTTCTCTCTTCCTATTATTAATATTAATTACTAGCTAATCATGACAATAACATAACCATTATGCTGTACACCGGGTGTGGGGTGAGCAGGAGGCAGCCAATCAATGGCTCTCTATCATCATTGATGTTTCCATCTCTCTCTCCTTTTCCCTCTCTGAAATCAATAGGCCAGTCAAGGCAGGCCCCCTGATTGCCCTGCTGGTCGCCCCGCAAAGGGAGTCGACCAGTGGAGGTGGGAGGGGCAGGGCCGGCCAGCTAGCGGGCGGTAGCAGGGGATGGGGCTAACTGGTGAGCAGGCAGTGCCAGGCTGGCCAAGGCAGGTGCCAGCAGGGATCTCCTGATTGCCCTTCTGGTCACCCCACAGATAGGCCCTGACTGCTGGCCAGGCCTAGGAACCCTTCACATGCATAAATTTTGTGCCCCGGGCCTCTAGTCTATATAATAAAAGCCTAAGCAACTGTTATGGCAGAACAACCAGAATGACCAGTGGCTATGATGTGCACTGACCACTAGGGGGCAGATGCTCAATGCAGGAGCTGCCCCCTGATGGTCAGTGTGCTCCCACAGGGGGAAATCTGCTCAGCCAGAAGCTGGACTCATGGAGAGTGGGCCTAAGCCGGCAGGCGGACATCCCCCCAGGGCTCCCAGACTGCGAGAGGGTGCAGGCCAGGTTGAGGGACCCCCCCCTCCTCCAGTGCACATTATAAATTATTTACCTGCTCTTTAAGGTGTAAAATATACCACCCCAAACTTACTTCAAGGACCTTAGAGACATCTCCTTGAATGCAAACATTCAGGCAGTTAGGGAGATAATGCTTGCTCTCCCAGTTCCTGTGGAAGGGAGGATAAGGGTGTGTAACTTCAGAGGAAGCACCACTCAGCTTCAACAGGTACCATTGCTTCCTGTCATAAGGACAGACATTTCTTTCTCTTCTGGATAAGCAACAAATCCACATGATCTAGTCACATGGATTAACTCCCCTTAATGCCACTCAGCAACTTTTCCTTAGCACACTCCCGCCTTTAAAAAGTCTCTAGCTTTTTGTTTTGAGGAAGTTGCATGCAATCCAAGCTGGTCCTCTTCTCTATTTCCTTCAGTAGGAAAGAAAGATTACTGAAGGAACTCTGTCCTCATTGTTTCAATGTTACATGCCTCCTTCATTCTACTTGCTTCAAAGTCTTGTAAATGGGTTGGGTACATCTCTAGTTTCCAGCAATGAAAAGAATTTTGGGGGGACATTACTATGGCAATTGGAATGCAGGAAAAAAAATCAAACATTTAGCATAATATTTCAGTCCCAGAATTCTCTATAATGTTATTAGCAATATAAGTGTATGAAATGGTGAATGAAGCAGTGCAGCAAAACAGAAAAGATCATACATTTTCCAGCAAGAGTAGATATTAGTTTGACTCCTTGCTCCAATATTTTTACTAGCTTCTTAAAATTGAGCAAGGGAGTAAAATTACTGTGTTTTAACTTTTTCATTTAAAAATAGGAAAAATAATACCTGTCACATGGTCTTGTTGGAAAAATTAAGATTGAATGAGAAAACACGCTCACTGGCTAGTATTTAGCTTATAATAATTGTTCAATAAATAATTACTACTTTGTATTACCAATCCCTGGCAAATCCCAAAGAAATTTGTTTAGTCTCTGTTGTTATAACAATGTTCCTTTTTATAGCATCCTTCATATACCTATCTGTAGGTTTCCACTATGAGAGAATGAGTTTCTTCATTTATCCTTGTATTCCAGTTCCTGCCATTTCAAAAGATGGGCATTCAATATATGCTTAGTGAATGAGTGAGTACATGAATAAATAAATGAATGAATGTATAGTAAAACAAAGTAATGATAAAATTAAGGTACCAAAATTGTTTGATAGTTTACATGGGCCAAGCCAATTAGTGATGTAAAATTTATTTGTGACTGTAATGAAAACAACATAAGATATTAATCTTTTTATGCTTCTTATTTTTGGTCTGAAATAAAGACCTGTCTATGGTGTTGCCTTATAATTTTTTTAAGGCATCAGTCTCAGAAACAGGATCTAAAGATATAAATGGGAACTTACAACATAGTTTTCATTTCCTGCTTTTGGGTACTGGTTGGACTACTTACTTATGCTCAACTTGTTAAAGCTCATTAAATGCATATCTCACATGACTTGCCTCGTAGATCCTCTTTGGTCCACAGACAATTGTCTTAGAAGAGAGGGAAGAGCTCTCAAATGCTGTGGAGCTCTCAATTGAGGAACTCCGTGGAACAATGGCATACCAATCTGAGCTAGAAAATTTGGATGAAGATGGATATACGCAGTTACAGTTCAGCTCCAGAGGCATCACCAAGAGACCTGTGTCCTCAGAAAAAGGTATTTTTTCTTTCTGCCTTCCGCATTTTCATTCTCATCAACTAAAACACTTAACCAAGTGGAGAAAATGGGAAGGGTTACGGGAGATAATGCACATGAAACTCTAGATGCAGGCTTGGTACCTAGGAAATGCTTCTGAAATGTCAGCTGTCGGCTGCTGTTCTGGACACACACACACACACACACACACACACACACATATATATATATACACACACATATATATGTGTATATATATACATACATATATATGTATATATATATTATTTTTTAAAAACTTTTACTTTTTAGAGCAGTTTTAGATTTAAAGAGAAATTGCAAAGACAGTACAAAGTTTTAAAATATTAATATATTTTAAAAGGTTTTCCAAAGTCACTGAAGATAAGCCTTTTCTTGTAGCAACCATTCAGTGACTAATTATTCATATTTAAATTAATTATGAGGATGATAGAAAGTACTCATAATATCTGTTCTACAGAAATAGATTGGTGAGCAGCGAGGAACTAGTAATAAGTATGATAAGCTGCAAAGATGAAAGAATGTCAATAGGAGTGATTTGTCTGATAGAAGTAATTTGTAGAATGGAGGTCAAGAAAACTGAAAGTGTATACATAAACCATGTCAAGATATCAGGGATAAGAAAGACAAGAATGAAAAGATGGAAGATAGGTGAGAGATAAAGACAAACTTACGATTTTGTGGTAAAGGTCAAAGGAAAGTTGGAAGTTATAGGATTTAGAATACTGAATCTGATTTTTTATGTGTATGTGGTAAGAGCTGGGTTTGGATGTTTTTTAAAAAAACAAAAGAAATTCTTTGTAAACCAGTGAAGAAAAATATATGCATTAGATGAAAATGTCCTATTAGTAACCCATGAGTCTTAAAGAAAATGTGAAATAAGTGGAATATGGAGAAGAGCATTAAAAGATCTTTTTCTTCCATTTAGTCTCCTCTAAAATTCTCCTATCTGACAATTCTCTTACATGCTCTTACTGCTTATTCTTAGTTAAATGGAAAACTATATTCTTGGAGTGGTGATGCCAACATAAAATGAGTTCCCTATTATCAGGAAAAAGACTATTCACAAGGTTTGACATCAGAATTTGTTCTCTTCTGCTTTCTGGTCATTCACATTGCCCAATTATTTTGCTCTCACCATGTACACAATGTTTTTTTTGGCCAACCTGTTGGGGAAGAGTGGAGAAACTGGATGATGCAAGAGGTAGGGAGGTGTGTGTGTGTTCATGCATATGTATAGACACACAGTGAGTTACCTATAATCTGCTAGTAGTCTCTACTAGAAAACTATGTGCTTTTCCATGTGTTAGCTTGCTTAATTCTCACAATAATTCTTTGAAATTTTATTACCTCATTTTTTCACAAAGATAATTTGTTTTTTTTAAAAAGAAATAATTTGCCCAAAGTTATGCAATACCTACATAAAAAGGGAAGATCACCTGTATTAACCAGTACTATTTCCTCCACATGAAGCTATCTCTTCTAAGAATGAGTGGGATTTCAGGAATCCTGGTAATATCAAGATTTATAGACATCAATGTAGAACTGAAATTAGGAGTGCATAATTATAAAGGCACTGTGCTCAAATTACAATTCCAGAACCCAAAGAGATATGCTAAAGGTGGGGAAAAACTCAGACCAATCCTAGATAACTAGATAATCAGGTATCAGCGATTAATGATTTATTTTAGAATTTACCAGATTTGGATGAATTGTAGAATTTAAGTGTACCATGATCCATCATCCTATTTCTTTTTTTTTAAAAAAAAATACATTTCTGCCCTAGCTGGTTTGGCTCACTGGTTAGAGTGTCAGCCTGCAGACCGAATGATCCCGGGTTCAATTCCAGTCAAGGGCACATGCCTGAGTTGTGGGCTCGATTCCCAGTGAGGGGTATGAAGGAAACATTGTCCCATGCACCAAAGGGTCATGGTCGGTTCCTAGTCAGAGTACGTGCCCAGATTGCAGGTTCCATCTCTCCCTCTCCCTTCCTCTCTGAAATCAATTATATATATAATAAAATATGCTTCTATTGATTTCAAGGAGAGGAAGAGAGAGATAAAAACATCAATGATGAAAGAGAATCATCTATTGCCTGCCTGCTGCATGCCCCCTACTGGGGATCGAGCCCACACCCGGAGGCATTTGCCTTGACTGGGAATGGAACCGTTGGAGTCAGTAACCATGACAGTAGCAGGGGAAACAAGAATGACCACGGTGAGGGGCTGGTGCTGGTGGTCAGGCTCTGGTTTGATCCTCTCTATGTATTAGTTAAAAATGAACTACCAGGCCAAGCACAGACAAGGAGGCTGAGTGCATATTGCAAAGTGGAAGGACCAATCCGGAGAGGGTACATTCTTCATCCTTCCAACTACACGGTGTTCTGAAAAAGGCGACTGCACAGACAAACAGTGACGGGGGGCTGCCATGGCTGGAGAAGGAGGGGGTAAACGGGTGAAGCGCAGGGCACATTCAGGGCAGCTGCTCTGTATGGTAGGGACAGAGCATTTTGCATTTGTCAAACCCACACACTGTACCACACAAGGAGGGGACCACATTGTAAACTGTGAACTTTAGTCAGTAATAATGTACCAATATTGGTTCATCAGTTGTAATAAGTGTACACAGTAGTGCAAGATGTTATTAACGGGGAAGCTGTGTGTGTGCGTGTTCAGGGGTGGGGTGGGTGTATAGGCGCTCTCTACTTTCTGCTTAACTATTTTTGTAACCTAAAACTGATCAAAAATAAAGTCTATTATTAAAAACAAAACAAAAACAACTTTCCAAGGTTACTTGGTTAGAACACGGGCAGCCAAGATTTAAACTAAACTTTCCTGGCTCTAAATTTCATGCTTTCAGATTTTAAGTCAAAGGATTCAACAGGCCTTTATTTTGACCTGGTATTTAAGTTCCAGTTTTCTCATCCCTAAAATGGGACTAAAAAACAATAATACTCACTCAGAAAGAACCAGCAAAATGGTTTGCTGTAAAGAGTAGGTGAACATTCTTTGGAAACTGTGAAGAGCTATGCAAGTCTAAGAAATGACCATCATTGATCTGAGATCCTGTCCACAAAGAGGATGCAGCTCTCACCCTGGCTGGTGGCTCAGTTGGTTGGAGTATCGTCCCATGCACCAAAGGGTCACGGTCGGTTCCCAGTCAGAGTACGTGCCCAGATTGCCGGTTCCATTTCCTGTCTGGGCATGTGTGGGAGGCAAAT